AGTTCATTGAGCATCTTTACAACCAGTGTTTTGAACTCTGCATCTGTTAGATTACTTGACTCCATTATTCCTGGATCTCTGTTCTGTTCTCCCATATGGTTTCTGTTTCTTTATCTTCCCATTTTGGCTGCCTTTCCATGTCTGTTTCTATGTACTAAGCAAAGCTCCTAAGTCTCCCGGTCTTATTAGTGTGGATTTGTGAAGTAAGTGTCCAGTGGCACAGTCCTAAGAGGGGTTCAGCTGCAGGCCAAACTTAGCCCAAGCCTGTGCCCCTCTGGGTCCACCTGTTAAGATTTAGCAAGCAATCCACAGATGCTGTGCTTATAGTTACCTCAAAAGGTCACACCAGAAACTGAGGCCAGCTGCCTCCACCACACCTGAATGTTGCTTGGATGGGGCCCAAGTTGGGGGAGGCGGGGTTTCAGGGAATCCTCTGGGCGGAGCGACCTTTGTTATCCAGTTTGATGACTTCATGGCTATGGCAGCGCTGTGTTGCTGTGTCCGTGCACTGGGAGTAGGGAGGGCTCAACAGGGAACACTGGATGCCTCTGGCACTTCTGTACAGAGCGAGTCTCGCCTTAGCCCTCGCTCTGACAATGCCTCTCTATAAGTCCTCAGTGCCCCCTGTGCACAGCCGAATCTGCACTGGTGCTCAGAGTGAGCAGGTCCGTCACTGCGAAAATCCGCACGCGGACGCGGCCCCTTTAAGAGGGTTCTGCCGCTGCTGCCACCACAGCCTCTGTCTCAGCCACTGGAGACTGGGTCGCCCCATGTCCTCGCCCTGTCCTACCTTCTGCCATGGCAGGGCGATGTCTTGGCTTTCTCCCTCGTTGTATGGCTTGTTCATCAAGATCCCAGGTGATTTTTCCTTGCTGCTGCTCCTTGTTTCCATCACAACTTTGGTCGCCGGAGGGATGAACGGAGCCTCTATCATCTATGCCATCTGGGTTCTCCTCCCGTCCCTGGCACTTTTTGAGCTGCTGCAGCGGAGCTCAGAGCGAATGAATTCGTGTGGGCGAGTCCATGCAGAGGCCCCTCAAGGGGAACACTAGCAGCCCCCACACACACCATCTCAGATACAATCCCCGCTGGTTTTCACAGATGTTATGGGAACTCCTCACTCCTCAGGGGGACCTCCACAGCCTAGATCTCCCTCCAAATTCCTAAACACCACACTGTAGGTGTGGGACCTGCCTGTTCTGTGTCTCTTCACCTTCTCTCAGTCGGTGTGGCTTCTTCTTTCTATCCGTGGTTATAGAAATTCTGTTCAGCTAGTCTTCAGGTGGTTCTTAGTGATGGCTGTCTTATAATTTAGTTGAAATTTTGATGCGACAGGAGGCAAATGCCGCATTTAACTACTCTACCATCTTAACCAAGAAGTCTCCTCCACTAATCTACTTTCGCTCTCTCTAGATTTGCACGTTCTGGATATTTCCTATAAATGGAATCATTCAGTAAGTGGCTGTTTATAACAGGCTCCTTTTGTTTGGCATGTTTTTGAGGTTCATCCATGTTGTAGCATAGATAAGTATTTCATTCTTTTTGTGGCTCTACCACATTTTGGTTATCAGCTACTGGACATCTGTGTTATTTCTACGGTTTGTCTACTATGAATAATGCCACTGTGAACGATCATTTATAAGTTTTTGCATGGATGTGTGTTTTCATTTCTCTGGAGTATATACCTAGGAGTGGAATTGCTAGATCAAATGGTAACTCCACAGTTAACATTTTGAGGAACTACCTGTCTTCAAAGCAGTTACACGATTTTATATTTCCACCAGCAATGTGTAAGGGTTATAATATCTCTGCATCCTCGTCAACACTTGTCTTTATTGTTACAGCCATCCTAGTTGGAGACAGGAAGCATTTTAACATTTAAAAACTCAGTGCCTTTTAGAAATGGTTTTCTCAGAGGCCAGTTTCTGACTGAATGTTGGATGTGGAATCAGCGACACCTTCAGGGTGGGTTTTTATTCAGCATGGCCTTTCTGCACTGACAAGTCCCTTGAAAAAAGTTCTGTAAGTATGGGGGAGGCCAGTGTCTAGGTGAGTGGTGCCACTTGGCCTTCTCACACTCGCTGTGTAATAGGAGGGCCTTAACACATGAAGACACTACACAATTATGGCTGCCCAGTACATCATTACGACCCTCAGAAAAAAGGAAGGGGCACAGATTTTTAGGTACAAAAAGCTAAAGGGAGGACCATTTAGTAAACTGTCAAGACAGCAGATAAAATGAGGCCTTTTGGGACTTAAAGTCTTTGTCATTTCCTTGCCCCTTTAGTGCCAGCTGAGAGCTTTGCCAGTCATATTACCCAGGGTCACAGGTATGACCATTGGGGTGGAAAATGGAACGTTCCTGGCCACCATGTAAGCAGACACTTACTTGACCCCGTAGGCAAATATGGTGAGTCCAATCAGCACACCTATGCTGCCGTCCAGGTACCAGACTGCCGCGTTATGCTTGAACACCTCTGCGCTCAGAAGAATGGAGAAGCCCATCACACCTCCCACAAGGGAGTTAAACCCTGGGAAAGAAGCAAAGAGACTGACAGCAGTGCCAAGTGCAGTTTCTTAGCCACCAAGAAAACTACCCAAATGCCAGACATTGCCTCCACATTCCAGAACATGTGCTGCAAGAGACATTGCCCAGAAGCACTCTCACAGGCGATCACCACCACCTGGGACACCTACATGGCTTGTCAAGTCTCTGCTCAAATGTCACCAGAGACCTCACTAGATGGAACCAGGCACTTAGGCCTGCTTGACATAGCCTGTGTTCATTGTCGGTCTTTCTCCCATGCACTGGAATGAAGAACTCGTGAGGTACGAGGTCCAGGACAGTGCCTGGCACACAGGAGACATTCAAATATGCGGTGATTCAAACCCATGAATATCTGCTGGGCCCAGGACTCAGCTGGAATATTCTCAACCTTATGAAGGCCAATTATCCCATTTTACTGATGGGAAAACTAAGTTAAAAAGAGTGAGGTTAAATAAATTGACCAAGGTTGCACAGATTGAGAAGGGCAGGGCTAAGCTTGTACCTGAACCCATGTCTTTCCCCTCCAGAGTCTCTTTAAATCACCTGAAAAATTTTCACTCTCCAGGAAGAGAAATCAAAGTCTAGAATTAGCAAATGGCTGTAGAAATGGCAATCAAAACAGAACTGGAACTAAGAGACGTGGATCACCATCTCCTTTCACAGAGGTCAACCTCAGGTGGTCCCCACAACTTAGGTGTCACATTTCCATTCTACCTGAGAGTTTCCAAAGGCCACATGGGAAGAGAATGGCTTTGAGGGACTCTTGAGGTCACACTGTGGTAGGAGCCCCAGGCTCCCCGCCTGCCTCGGCGTGACAGTGGCCCAAGGAAGCTCTAGGTCCTTGCTGCCCTGGTTGTCCTCTGGCACCTGGTCCATGCAGGGCCAGTAACAACAGGCCCTACTTCATTCCCAGGGCAACTCCACCTGCACAAGTACCAGGCTTTTGCTGAACTCAAAAGCATTAAGTCCAGGTTCAAGCAGGAAAAGTGAGATGAAACAACCTTAAATGCATCCACTGGGGGCTGTACACCTTGGGGCGAGGTTCTAAATGAAGGGCAGGTGGAGAGGAAGAGTGTAGGAGTAGATGATGTGAGCAAAGCCTGAGTAAGACCCCTTTTCAGGATCCAAGGGGGAGACTTCAACAGGCTCCTCCCCAATAACGGAAAAAACTGAACCTGGCTGGGGCCTGCGACAACATCTCTGAGTGTGGCAACCCTCTTCTCTTACCTCGAATCTGTCATCTCCTCACTCCGATGCTTAGTTGATGACTTGCCCTTGTACTTCTCAGAGCACACAGGTTCAGACAAGAATACTTCACCTTCCCAACACCAAACCCACCACCCACTGTGACAGCTGACCCAAGACACTCAGCTGCTTCTCCAATTACTGCTGTTCCTATGTAAGGCCAACTCCGTCCTACCTGCTCATCAAAGGACTTTTTCTTGAAATTCTTCTCCCTCTCCTGGAACATTCCCAATGGGATAAATCTTACCTTCCCATCACGCAGCTCAAACTCCTTCCCTGTCTCCGCACCACCTAACCCCACCTCCCATTCTCTCTTCACCCATCCCTCTCAGGTTCCCTCCTCCCCAAAGCCCTCCCTGAGGTCAGTGATGACTCGCTCTGTGCTGCCACACAGCATGGTTGATTCCTTGTCCTCATCTTACAACCTCCTAGGAACACTTTCCTTCAGCTCCCAGGACTGCTGGATTTCCTCTTTCTGTTCCAGCTATTCCTTCTCTGCTATACCCTCTTACTCCTCCCTTGTCTGAGGACCCTTCGTCAGTCCTCTGAGCTCTTCTTCTGTCTACATGCTCCCCCTGGGCTGTCACCTCCAATCCCATACGTCACTGTCTCCCAACTTTCTCTCTTCGGCCTGACCTTTCCCCTCAGCTGAAGACTCATTCATATATAAGCATCTCAAACTGAACATCTTCGAAGCAAAAATCTCAATTTATGCGGCCATACACCTCAACTTCTCTGTAAATGACATCACCATCCACCTAGCTGCCAAGGCCGAAAATCTAGGAGCCCATCCTTGACTTCACGCCCAATATCTAATCAATCCCCAAATTTAATCCATCAAGTAACTCTTGCCTACTGTTACCTCCAAAACTCATTCTCCATCTACCTCTCCACGCCCCCCTTGCCTTCGCCCCTGCAACAGCCTCACCACCATTCTTGCCCACATTTCCCTCAATCCATTCCCCTCACAGCAGCCAGAGACTTACCACCCACCAGTGTGGACCTCTCTCCTGGAGACCCCATGGATACTTCCTTCGTAGACTGATCGCTTTCCACCCCAGCCACACCCTCCTACCTTCTTGTCTTTGCTGCTGCTGCATTTTTCTCCATCGTTCTTCATAACATGATGTTTCTCCCATTTTCCTTTTTACAAACATCTCTTTCTCACTAAAAACATAAGCTTAAGGGTGGGGATTTTTGTGTCTCTTCTTGCTATATTCCAAGTCTCAGAACAGGGGCTGGCATCTCTCAGGACCTCAAACTGGCTGAATTAATAGATGGAGGGAAGTAGAAAAGGAAGTCATGGGACATGGCTTTAGCAGTGCTCCTACTTATCAGCACCTGGGCTGAGCAGTCCCAAGAGAGGAAACCAGCTTTGCCCAGGCCCTGCTAAGGTAGGGCCTGGGGGGCCCTGGAACGTCAACCTTCCCACTCCCTTCCAAGCCCGTCCACAGGGTTTCTGGTTCTCTTTTTTAAAAGTCTGCAGCCCACATCTTTTCTCAGAAGACCACCAAAAGCATCAGCAGAGACCATTACTCTGTCACAGGCAACCTGGGCTAGAGTTTACTTCTCAGCCATTTCAAAATTGAGGAGGTTTTGTTTTGGGTGTGTCTACAGGAAAGGAGAGACGAAGGGATGGACTCTGGCCCAGGGCAAACTAGAATCCTCCACTCCCTTCTCTTCATCTCTGCCATGGGCACAAGTAGGCCCACAGAGAAGCCCAGTGGAGCTCAGAGAAGATGCAGAGAGAGCATGAGGTTCCCCCAGACGGCCACTAGATGGCTATTCAGCTCCGCCAAGTCATCAGCTCTGTCAGCCAAGGACAGCCCAGCCTCCTTGGTTTCTGACAGCAGGCCCCCACCCCATGCATGCTCCCAACCGTTCGCAGCTGATGGATTCGTGGTGCATTCACCTATACCCTCTAGGAGGAGCTTCTGATCTGCTCAGGTCTGCTCACCTTTGGCTGTGACAGAGCCTAACTCATTTCAGCTTCCTCTCTTGTAAGTCTGCATGGAATGATGGGGCCAAGCACACACACTGGGGGACGATCCTGTATCTGCCTGGCAACATCCTTCAGAATTTTAGAGTCTTTCCAGCCACAATCACTCCACATGAAGAACCCTGCACTCAAAAGCCCACCCACCAGACCACTCATCTTACCCACACAGCACTCAACGCCAGCCTATTGGTCACTCACCTCTGAGGTGCTGTCCCCACCCAAGCCCATAAGCTTGTTCCTGCCTTCTCAGTGTAAACCAGAGCTGCTGTAAAGAATAAATGTGGTTATCAGTTTAAGAACACAAAATAACGTCTGAGGCTGCCTTGGTTAGTGGTCCCACCAGTCTGGCCTTAATGACTAGATAAGGATCTGTACAATAAAACACATTAATTTTTTTGCAGAAAACTGATTAAAAGTTTCTGTGTGCTTGAAAACCATCATGGACTCTCAGTGTTTTGGAGGGAACAAGAAAAGAGTCAGCCCAGGCCCCTCAACTCAGAGACGTTTCCAGCCGTCCCTGTGAGCAGCACTGGAGCCCGGCTTCTGGCCCCTGGGCCAGAACTTCCTCCCAGGTACCTTTCCACAGTCTCCCTCTGCCAGATTTATAGTGTTAACATCCTGTACAAAATCATTTTACTTTAAATAACACAAAGCCAGCTTCTGCCTAATGCTGATAGCAATAATCACATGTTGCCTAAATATCCAAAACAACAAAATTGGACAAGATTGACTGGGCCGCACAGCACAATGGTGATGTCTGGAATTTACCCACACCCAGCTGCACCCCAACCCCACCCCTGCCCCATTCCCTGAGAACTGCTTCCTGTAAGGGCACAACCCAGGACGAAGGATCTGGTGCAGTGGACCTGACCCAGGTCGCACACAGCTCCAACCTGGAAACCGGCCACCTCGCCAAGTGACAGGTAAGGCCCATCCTCCCCACCTGCACCAGAAGCATTTTGTCAAGTTTGCTTCCTTCTTGGAGGGAAGGGGCCAGACCATGAGGGGCATTCCCAAGGTGGCCACGAGGGATGCTCTCCGGAGCCAGCTCCTCCAAAAAACTCCCAACATTAATGTTAGGCAACGTTTCCAAACCTCATCCTGCCCCCACCTCCCAAAGTGGGGGAAGAACCAAGAGGAGATCATTACACATGGTTCCCTAGCTCTGCTAATCAATAAATGAGTAAAACAGATCCCAGACAATACAATTAGCAGGAGGCTGCAATTACTGCTGCATATTTCACTGACACTCCCACCAAGCAAAGGACTGCAGAGCACGCCAACCGCCCCCCACCCCAGGGCCCCCTGTAGGAAACAGGCTGGGGGTGGGGGTAGTACCTTTATTCTTTGCAGGAGCACTGTCTTGCCTACCTCTCATCAACCCCCATGGCCCATTCAACCCCCAGCCCTGCCCATTTTATAGATATCACCGACATTTCTTCGAATGCTCCACATCCTCCACCCCTTTGCTCTCATCCCTGTCCAAACCACCACCACCCCTCAGCTCCCGAGACTTCTCCCTGCTTCAGTACCCTCGGCTTTGTTCTCCACCCATCAGGCTCTTTAGAAAATATCAATCATGTCCCTTCATCTGTTTAAATACATAGCAAAACATCCAAAATCCTACCCTTGACCCAAAGTCCTGCATGATCCGCTCCTGCCCACGGTCAGACCCCTCGCCCGCTGTGCCCCCTCCTCACCCAGCCCCTCAGAGGCGCCAGGCTCACTCCCAGCCACTTCCCTCTGCCTGAGGAATGCTCTCCCTGCTTCCCGCCCGTTTGTGGAACAATTTCCACTTAAACCATCCACCGCTCTTTGTAATGACCCCTCCCTGGTTCAAGAGTATGAAGGAAATATTGCTTTTTCATGTGGATGGTTTTATGAGTGCAAATCAGGAAGTCAGAAGTAATTTCATTAGAAAAAAACATACTTATAATTGGAGTCTTCTCGGTTTACCATATAAAATGGAGGCAAGTCAGAAGAACAGTGAAGCCTAAAGAGAAACTTAGTATCTGGAATGTCTATAAAACGTTAAAACCCGCAGTCAAGGCAGAGGGCCCGCTGTTCTGAGAAAAAGCCGGTCAGGCCCCACGGTCATGGGTAGCAAGGGAAACAGGGCCTCCTGCCTGGGGGACCAGGGAGGGTCTGACTGTCAGGTCCACCCTTCAGGCTTCTGGGGAATGCTTTCCTGTGTCTTGACTGTAGTCAACTGAATAAACAAAATGTGACGCTCTGCAAGTTGGAGGGCCTTTGTGACTCGAAGGCCCAATTCAAGACTAGGAAGAGAGCATCTGTTGAGTGCTCATCACTGGGAGTCCAGGGCCGTGCTGACCAGTGCAACCTCCTCCGGCCTGCCTTCCCTGTGACCCATGTTCCAGGAAAAAAGACATGAGAGGGAAGCACGGAGCACGTGGCTGGAGAAGCCAGGGCCCACGCAGAACTGTGTCCCTTAGAGCAGCATAAAGGAACCTCGAAGGTGGCTGGAAAGCCACAGCAAACACCTGGTGAATGCCACACAGCCTTCCGCTCTCAGCACAAGCATCCTGTGCTGTTCATCCCTAAGAAAAAGAAGACTCCACAGCCAAAGGGAATGTTTTCTTTTCCAGATTAAAAAACACCAGATCATAAAACTCACAGGGAATGAACACTCCTCCCCAAATTCTGGGTCTGCCCCAGAGAGGAAAGGGCGCCCAGATTGCCAAGGGTCTTGTGAGACAAGATATTAGGGTGGGTTTGATGCAAACTGCCTATATATCCATGCTGTCTCGGTGGGTGACAGAGACCTTGCAAGACCCATCCAGGCTGTGGCCTCAGGCACGCTTGCATCATTCTCATGAGACTGAGCCACAGGTTCTTTAGGTCCTGCCCTACTTGAAAGAACTACCCCTTTATACCAGTGGAGTTATTTAACTAAGTTGCAACCCCACTTTTGGGGAGCAGGCAGGACCCTTCACAGCAACAGGGCACATACCTGAAAGAGGTCATTCTGATTCTGCATTAGGGGCTCGTTTCCCCACTAACACAGTACCTAGCACAGTATCAGGCACAAAAGAACTCTGTAAAACCTACTGATCACTGTCACTGCAGCACCGGCTCCAATAGCAGCAAACCCAGGACCTGATGTTGGCTCATTTCGCTGGGCCTGACCAAGGCAGGCAATCTCAGGGGTTCGTTTGGGAGTTTGAGGAGCTGGGCCGGGCTGCTTGGTACCCATGACAGGCCTGCAAGCTGCCTGAAAGCAGAGCAGAGAAGCGGAGGCTTCGGTCCCAGCCAGCAATACTTTTACTGCTTTAAACAGTTTTAAACTATTGAAAAAGTGCTTGTTTCCTATGAGCAAATGGCCTCCGTAGCACAGAGAGAAAAGCGGCATCTTGCAAGGGCAGAAGCAGATGTCAGGCCCTGTTGGAAGTGGCCACTTGAGGAAAGATTCTGAGAGCTACTGGTCAAAATCGCGTATGGGACACCACAGGGTCCACCTTTCCTGGTGTGCAGTGTGTCCTGGCCCCTTGGATTGGTCAAGGAGGCAGCATGAACCTCACTGTCCATCACATGGACACAGTGCCAGTGTAAAATACAACTTCCGGAGATCTACCTCAAACCCTCAGAACCAGAATCTTCAGGGGTGAGACCAAAAATCTGTGTTTCTAACAAACACCACGAGCAACTCTGATGCTGCCAGTGGTAGTGATCAACTGACTAGCATCTGGGGTCCCCTGGTTTTACAGTCAGTATATCAGATCATATAACCCTCAACTTCTTAGGCCTGTGCAAAGAAACCACACACACACACACACACACGATGCTTCTCCCAGAGCAGCTGTGGTTGCAAAGCTGGAAACCACTTTGACTTCCAGCCCACCTGCCCTACTGTGCAAAAGCCCAGCTCCACGCATAGCGGAGCAACAGCATGGGAGGGGACAAGGAGTTAGAGCCGTGTCACCATGCTTTGTCACTTGGGAGAGAAGGGCGCCCGGCATTGCCATCCACTCCCTCCACAACAGAACAACAGCCACCCACGCATGCCTACATTTACATATTTCGCACTAGAGAGAACCTTGAGAGTTTAAGAGTGGGGAGCAGGGAGAAATGGTCCCTTTCTTAAAAAAGAAATACAATGATTTCTGCTCCATTTTGTATACACGCACCCATAAGCTTTTACTCTTTGACCTCTCATCCCAGGGTAGGGGCACACATGTCTTTACTCCTGATCCCGTGGCAACTTCACGTGCTCAAGAATGAAGAACAAGAAAATGGCCAGGTGATAATGTTTGTCAAGTTTCTGTTTCCACACTAGCACTACTTTGCAAACTGAAATGCGCTTTTCCTACTTTCACGCACCCTTCTCTGTCATCCCAAAGGCCATGCAGGAAGGTCCTCTTGACCCTTAGGGACACAGAGGGAAAAGTCTACCTGGTTTGGATTTTCAGCAGAGAACACATGGATCACTTCCCCGGCAAAGCCCTGGGAGTTGCAACTTGAACTCCCAGGTGAGCATCTCAATAGCTGGAAGGGAAAATGAGCATGGAGAAGTCACAAAGGAAGCTTTTATAGAATCCAGAAAAGCCATTTACTTTTTATTTGGAGCAATGCATATAAAATCCTAGACTCTGGGAAGCCTTTTGTGTTTCATGGCTAAGAGCCTGGGGAGCCCCAAACAGCCCTGTTCAGAGATCAGGATAAAGGTGATTCATAAAGAGTTTATTAAATTCTCAGAGCACAAGACGTCTGCCCTGATATGGGAACCCTGAGAATCATTAAACAGCTTGGGGAAAGGAAGCTAGTGAGAACAGATTCCCAACTGTTGACCTCTTCTTCAAGACAAGCAACTAAAAGTAAACCACATAGCATCTTCCCTCACTGTGAGCTAAGCCCCCAAAGATCAGGCACACCAGCCTTACTTACCATCTGTTATGAGTGCTCTGCTGGTCAGAACCTTCCCCAGCATAAACTTCAACACTGCCAGGATGCTGCAAAGGATCCCACTTAAAATGGAGACGCTGAACAGGAAATCATCCTAAAAGAGAGAGTTTCAGATTTCAACAGTTTACTTGCTAGAGCAGATTATCTACAAACCATTTGCCTTAAAGTCAGCTTTGTTCCCAGAACAAATAATCAGTTGGGTATGCTGCCACCAGGTGGGGGTATATTGCTTGTTTGCGTACCTCAGTTACCTGTGTCACTCGAAACTGGAAAAGATGATCAAATAAAGATAATCCAGGCTTATATTTCTTTATAAAATCCATTAAGTATTTATTTTCCTGTAGGAAATTCTCCTTTACACCATTCTGCTAAAATGACTGCCAATCATCAATCAGTAACACAGTTGGTCAGAATGCTAAAAACGGTGCTTTCCATATAGAGTTTTCCACAGATAATTTAAAATGCAGCTGATAGAGAATTTTGAAACATGTAAGTACAACAGTGAACTAAGAACACTTCAGCACAGAGCCAACTGAATTTGTCACAGGGTCAAGTATGGCTAGAGCTATTGATAAACATACGTTTCCTTAAATTCACACAAGGCAAACAGAAGTTCAACTATAGCCTTCAGTGTGAGAAAAAAGGCATCTAAAAATACAGTCTTTTGCTGATGTTATCTTAGCACTTCTTGTAAGTTGTTACCTTACCTTTGCAAGCAAACAAGTAAGTCGCATGCAAAAGAGAACACCACTATCTCATGACATTAGGGCCCATCAGGCTCCTCAGCTTCAGGCTCTCATGCATTATTCCCATGAGACACAGCCTTCAGATTCTCTAATATTAAAATGCAACTGCCGGCAGAAATCTGATAAAGCATCATATGTATGCAGAGAAATAGAATTCTTTAAGCATTTTATTATTCAAATTCACTAACCTAGTGACAGAAATCTGAGAAGAGGGATGACAGCCTGTTTCCCTAGGTTCAAAACCGAACAAAGTTAGAAAAAAATCACGTCATTGGAAATGAGATATCTGCATAGCGTCAAAGCATCTCCTCCACTATCCTGATCGATGTATAGCTAATGATGAGAAACTGCAACCTAAGTAGGTATGCACCACCACTGACTTCTTTCAAAGTGTAGCCCTACCTGCTGAATCTCACTTAATTCTCATAGCCAGGTCCAGCCAGCATCTGACAGGTGGAGAAACAGATGCACAGAGGCTGAATGACATGCCCAGGGTCGCTTAGCTAGTGGCAGGACCTGGATTTGTTTCCAGCAGTAAACTGTAGCAGGGTGCCTCAGTTATAGCCTTGTAAACATCTCTCATATCACTGAACTGTGGACTCTACAAAAACAGAAGGGACAGCCATTTTCTTACTAAATATTTGGTTTCCACTGTTGCCAGCACTGGGTCCCTGTGATTTCTCAGAGCTGAATCTCTACTGAAGAGCTAGAAGATCAGGGCTAAAGGGTTCAAGAAAACTAGCTACTGACTCAAGAAACCAAGGATAAATGTATATTAAAGGTAGATGCTACAGAAATTATGTCCCTGCTGGCAAGCTTCTCTACAGCCCTGTAGTGGTGAAGACCTTTTATAATCATCTCAAAGCCATAAAACATTGATATATTTGACTACAAGAAAATTAAAAGATATGCAGGAGATAGGCTATATACAAATACAAATGGAAAAATAATATCACAAAGGGTTAATCTCCCTAATATATAAAGAGCTCCTAGAAATCTATAAGAAAAAGATCAAAAAAGGCAAAGTAGAAAATGGACAAAAAATTTGGGCAAAAGACAATTAGAAAATTAAAGTGAATTTTAAATATATGGAAGATGCTTAAACTCACTCATAAAAGAAATAAAAACCGAAACTACACTGAGATAATCATTTTCACCTAAACCAACCAAAAGTATTATTAAAATACTTTTGCTCTCTGAACGACACTGTTCAGAAAATGAAGGGAAGCCACAGATTGGGAAAATATATTTGCAAACATATTTGTCAAAGGACTTATACCCAGAGTAGATTAATAATTTCTACAGCTAAATAAGAAAATGACTTGATTTTTTAAAAATGAGCAAAAGATATAAACAGTTCGCCAAAAAAGATACATGATTAGCAAACAAGCACATGAAAAGATCACCAACATCATTCGTCAACAGGGAAATGTAAATCAAAACCACCATGAGATACTACTACATGCCAATTAGACTCAGTAAAATTATAAAGAAATAATACCAATCACAGTGAGAATGTGGAACAACTAAAACTTATCATGTACTTCCGGTAGGAATATAAAATGGTACAGCCACTTTGTAAACCAGATTGGCCATTCTTTGTAAGGTTAAATATTGAGTTAGCATAGAACTCAGCAATTCTGCTCATTGGTATTTACACAAAAGAAACAAAAGCATATGTCCACACAAAAACCTGCACACCCATGTTCTTAGCTACTATTTTTATACTGTCAAAAAAACTGGAAACCACCTAAATGTCCAACAACTGATGAATGGATAAATGAACTGTGGGATATAGCCATGTGATAGAATGCTACCTAACAATGAAAAAGAATAAACTACTGATACATAGCAAGAACATGGCTGCATATCAAAAGCATTATGCTAAGTTAAAGAACGCAGACACAAGAGACTACTATACGATTTCATTTATATTACATTCTAGAAAAAGAAAACTATGCTGACAGAAAGTAGATTGGTGGGTGGGGAAGGGAGGTAATCAACACCTGCAAAAGTGCATGACAGAACTTTCTGGAGTGACAGAAATATTCTATATCTTCACTGTGATGGTAATTCTGTGATGGTCATCTATCAAAACCCATCAAGTCATATGGGTAATTTTACTGTATGTACATTACATGTCAATAAAATATTTTTTTTGAGAAAAGAAATTTATCTCAAGGATCCTTAGGTGACAATTACAAATATTTACATAGTTCGCCTTATGCACATTATAATAATATACATAATGTCCACTGCCATAATGTGAGGTAGAAGACCAAGACCAAAGAACAATCATTATAAAGATTAAAACAGAGGGTTAGAGAGGTCAGCAATGGAACACGAACCCTGACTTCAAGTCTCATGAATTTCCTGCTAAGGTATTTCCAGTGTCTGGGTGGGTAAACACTTCTTTTTATACACTTATCTCAAGTGTTTCCTCCCCTATTAAGCATTTCCTGCCAATTCATGCTTTAAGAGCTGACGCTTCCACTCCATGTCCCCACTAACCATGGCCTCACAGGTTTCCTTCCTTGTCCGCCTCTCCTACGAGCTCACTGACAGGAGAGATCCTTTCTCATCCATCTCAGTATCTATCACCAAGGCAATCAGAACTGTGATAGGAACTACCACACTGCACAGAGGGATGTCAAAATCATAACACAGTCGTTCACAAGCATTTTTATAGAAGATGCAGAAATGCGAATCCATATAGTCATTTGTCATCTTGACCCACAGTGAAAGTCAGGGGCATAAGGTTACAAACCTACCTCAGTAAAGGCACTCCTGGGGTGATGGGGCAGGGAGAGGTGAGGGCTAGTTAAGCGGACGGTTTTCTAAGGACTAAAAAGGGTGTGGGAATGAACGTAGCTTGGAATGGGAAAAAACACCACCCCAGAGGTGGTATTACCAGGCACCAGCTTTTTCTCTGGAACTTTGGAGGAAAGCGGGACATCAGTGAAGCCAAGGATGAAATTCTGCAAAAGCCATAAGGGTCCTGGGTTGATAGACCCTCATCGGCACACTCGTGCCCCAAGATGCCAAACATGAGGTGAGGCTCTCTGCTCCCTCCAGCCGGGGCTGAGGGATTCAAAGGCTCAGCTGCGATGCCTTCCCGTGCTCATCATCAGGGTTGCCGAACTCTGCCTGCCTTCTGGGAAACAGCCCGAGACCCCCAACCCAAACTTCAGGACAGCTGAGGAGAAGCCGCCTCAGCCTGCCCTTAGCGCAGCCTCTACCTTCCAGACCGCAGGTGACAAAGGCCAATGGTCAGTCCATCTGAGTGGAGTGCCTTTTCTAAGAGCTAGTAATGCCTTAACTATGTAATTTTCCAACTTCATTGGTACAAAACATGAAAAGCCGCATCTTAACTCAATGGAGCGAATCATTTGTGTAGGAATTCCAAGAATCTGACAGGCCCCTAGTGTACATAAAGCTTTCCACCCCAAATCCTTTGGTCTATGCCAAGACTAACGCTTTCTTACCTAAGAGACAAAGTCATAGAGACATTCACATCCCCTGCCCAGGTTTCCCAGCACCACCACAACTGGCCCCCCAAACCTGGCCCATCACCAGGCAAGAGAGCACATATCTTCTGTATAAACATAGAGTGGTCTTAAAATTATAGAGCATTAGAACTGGAAAAGGGCTGAGATGCCATCTAATCCATGCAGCAGGCAGGGAAACTGAGGCTCAGAAAGAAGAGGTGGCTCCCCCAAAGACAGCAGAGAGATCGTGCCAGAGCCCAGAGCTCTCAGCCATCCCTCACCTCTCCCCTGGCAGCCTGACACTATCAACCCCTTCTAATTCCCTAAGTCCAGGCTGGAATGTGGTAAAAGCGACAGGGCTAATTTTAGGATTCAAAGGCAACTAGGGGAGAGCTGATAAAGCCTGATCTGAGGAGGATCCTTGTGCTGACTTGTGATATCAGTCATTGTGAACCAGCTCAGGAGACCTTGTCAGCCAGATCTGGGTCTCGGTCAGCTTTTTCTCCAGGAGGATGCAGGGCCCTGCACTGCCCCACACATAGTTTGGGGGACTAGAGTTCCCATGGCCTGAAGTACACTAATAGAATGATGGTCTTTTCCAGCTCCTCTCTGGCAAAGCCCAACCAAACCAAGTGGATGAAGCTGACCCCTCTGCCTCACCTTTACCATTCTCCCCAGCTCTCGCTCTGCTCTGGCCACCCTGGCCTCATCCCTGTTCCTCACACATGATAAAAACATTTCTACCTCAGGACCTTTGCTCATGCTGTTCCTGCTCACTCCCTCACCTGTCATATTTCTGCTCAAATATCATCTTCTCAGTGAGGTGGTCCCTAACCATAATCTCTTACCATCTCTGATCT